GGAGAGAGGGGGGGATGGCTGTTATGTAGCATGGAGCAGCTTATCGGGACCCGCCATCCAGGGGAACCAGAGTCGTAACGGCCAACCGCGGCACCTGAGCCAAGCGGCGGTGCGTGTAGTGCGTTCAGCTGGTGAGTCAGTCAGTTTCCCCTTCCCTTCCCCTTCCCTTCCCTTGTACCTGTGGCAGGCGTGAAACTTCCCCTCGCAGCGTCGGCGGCGTCGGCGTCGGCGTCGGCGTCGGTGGGCGGGCGAGAAGTGGTTGTTGGGAGCTCTCCTGCCTTCCTTTTAAACCTCTCAGCGCCTCCTGCCGTATTCTCCGTCTGCTCCGTCTTGTTTGTTGATCTCAGGTACATATAAATGTGAAAAACACTTCCTCCTCCTGCTGCATCCCGCTCTGCATCCCATCCCACATCGTATCCGTCTTATCTACGTTTCTCCCAACCCCTTCTCCGCATACAGACATACATCGAGAGCAAGCGAACAAGGCAAGAAAGGTGCGAGTGAAGTTTCATATCGTATCACACCTGCTTCCGCCTCGGTTCGCAGGGCTTCCTACGGCGAGCGACGCCCCAAAACTTTTTTCCAAAAAGGTGGTGGCTGTTTTGTTGTGGTCGTTGTTGTCGTTACTCTACTCTAAACCAAACCCCCCCCCCCCCCGTTATTCCATCAGTGGGCTGCTGCTTGCTGCGTATCATGAAGGTCTCGTCGGGTTCGATGGCCTCGTTGGCCTTGGTCCTGTTTTCTGGTTCTGCTCTGGTGGGTGCCCAGACTTTTACCGAGTGCAATCCCATGGTAAAAAGTAAGCTTGGATAAACTCCTTTCCCTCCCGTTCGCTCCCGAACCACTCTTTTTCTACAACTCAATTACTAACAAAGTCTGTCGGTTCTAAACAGCCTGCCCGGCAAACCCTGCTTTAGGTGGGACGGGTAAATTCAACTTCCTTGAATCTTCCGATCGATTTGATGTCGTGGGTGGTTCGCCAACATACGGTCCCGATGGTGCTCTCCTCGCCGTGGCGAAACAGGGCGATAACCCAACCCTCGTCTCGAAATTCTTCATCATGTTTGGCTTTGTTGAATTTGTCATCAAGGTTGCCCCTGGCCGCGGCATCGTCAGCAGCGCCGTCTTGCTGTCAGACACTTTGGATGAGATAGACTGGGAATGGCTGGGCGGCAACAACGCGCAGGTCCAGACCAACTACTTTGGAAAGAATCAACAGGGCACTTTCGACCGTGGCGCTTTCCATAGCAACGCAGGCAATCATGATGGTTATAACTCTTATTCCATCGACTGGTCCAAGGACCGCATTCTGTGGCTGATCAACGGCGAGGTTGTCCGCACGCTGACGGCCACTGAGGCTGGTGCTTCGTACCCGCAGACACCGATGCAGGTTAAAGCGGGTGTCTGGGCCGGTGGTGACCCTTCTAACCCACCCGGAACTATTGGTATGTTATAACCCACGATAACTTGATGGCTTGCAAATCTAATGATTTCACAACAAAACGATGCTAACATGAAAACTCCTGCAGAGTGGGCGGGTGGTGTAACTGACTACACAGCTGGTCCTTACGTCATGGGGCTCAAGTCCATTACCGTAACTGACTATTCCACTGGCAGCGAATACCGCTATTCTGACAAGAGCGGTACCTGGCAGTCCATTGAGGCTGTTGGTGGTAAGGTCAATGGCAATGGGACACCTGGGACGGGCCCACAGGTAGAGTCTTCAGCCCCCCCTGCAGAAGCCACCCGCCCTCCTACCACCAAAGGTATGCCACATATACCAAGCGAGTATCCTTGGGTTCCCCGTCCCACTACTACTATCCCTAGCGATACACTCGACACCAAGAGTGCCCCCTCAGTAACCACTTATCCAGGGCTCCCCAGTGACTGGATAGTCACCGACTCTGGGAGAGCCATACCGCCGAGCACGGCTTCTGTGAGTGAGCATCGCACCCTTTATGCTATCTGTTTCAAAATGCCTTGTTGGTTCCGCGTTTACTAATTCAGTTCGTCTTAATCGTTCTTCCAGAGAACATCCCAGTCTCCTTCACAGTCGTCGCCTTCATCTTCGGTTTCCTCTTCCGCTGGTGGCCCTGAATCCTCATTTTCATCTTCTGGTTCTCAAATAATTACAGCAACAAGATCATCTTCTCCCACTGGCACGGTTGCACCCCAAGCCGGTGCAGCTATAGGCAATTTCCGTATCCCGTACGGGGTTGCTGGTGTCTGTGGCTTGATTGGTGCTATGACTCTCCTATAACGAGTAAGCAGAACCAAATTAAAAAAAAAAAAAAAAAAAAGGCCTGAAATTGAAAATACCCCAAGATGAAATATGTGACGATGACGGGATCATTTAAGGGGACGAGAAGATTGATCTTTATGCAACTCTGTATATTTTATGCCACAACATTTTAGACAGCGGCGACTGGAGAGGCTAACTAAAATCTGGGATCTTTGTTTTATGTGCTTGGTTTGGCGGGTGGCTTTTTATGAAAAATTTCTCTTGAAGGTTTGTTTTCTCTTTTCTCTCTCTCTCCTTCTTGTTGGTGTCGAATTATTAGTTTCAATACCCTTTTTTTTTTTTTTTTTTTTTTTTTTTTTTTTTTTTCTCTTTTGTGAGTGTGATTTTCTCTATGCATGATTTGGTCAGTTGGTTGGAATGAGTTGATTTGACCCGGACTATGGGTCGAACCGATCGTCCTACGGTTTTGCAGGTTTTATGGCTTTTATCTTTTATGATGGTGTTTCTTTCGTTTTCTTCTTGTATCACATTGTGTTAGAATGGACATGACAGTAATTGTGTACCATACCATGACTTTGTTCAGGAATGAAAGAGTACATGGATTAGAGTCGAAGTTGGGTTGCGTTGAGTATTGTACAAGGTTGTGATTTGTTCTCGATGAGGTGGGATTCAGTTTTAATTCCAAGTTTTTACTTATGTGTCTGCTGTCTGGGGGTCGTATGTCTAGTGTTCGAGTTTGATTGCTGGGTGAGTCATTCTCGTGGTAGGTTGAAGGTAGGTGAGGTGTAGGGAGTTTTGGAGAGAGGTGATGTTGTAGGTATGGGGGTGATAACTTCTAAATTATATTCACGATACTAAGGAGGAAGCTTGAGGCCAAGAACAAGAAGGTTGGAAGGTGAGAAATGCCGGGAGAGTGAGTCATGAAAGGAGAATAACAGGTTTGTTGTTGTTGTTGTTGTTGTTGTTGTTGTTGTTGTTGCAGGGAAGATAGATCAATTGAAGAAATGAGTAATGAAACAGAAATAGTCATTAAAATTCGAAGCAGCAAGAAAAAGAAGAGACGGTAAACGTCATAAAAACATCATCACATAAAAGCCAGGGTTAACGTCACCCCCAACTCCCACACCCACACATCCTAGCTAGTATTTACCCATCCAACAACGCAACCAGAGCCTTCTCATAATCCCCGCTCGTCTCCTTCTCCACTGCCTCCACAAGCCCCCGCTCATACCTCCGCCTATACGCCGCCTTAACCTCCCCCACCCTCCCACCCCCCTTGGCCCAATGCAGCCTCACAACCCGAGCAATCAGCAACGAATCCCTCGTCCCCATCCCCTTCATACACTTATATAGCATCTCCGCATCCGTCCCCGGCCCATCCAGCGCCCCACGGACAATATACAACGCGCTGCGCCGCATGAGCTTCCGATCCGAGCGCGCCCAGATGGCTTTCACCTTCTTCACGAAGGTCATGGTTCCCGTGGCGGGGCTGAAGGCCGGGCGGCGGGTGAGGGCCGCGTTGACGGCGCGGAGGTGGTTGTCGCTCCGCTGAGCGAGGAGGGTGGCGAGGTCGGTCTCCTCCTTGCTGCCCGGGTCGATGTTTCTGGGTGCTTTGTCGAATTTGTCGGCGTCGGCTTCGACGAGGGCGGGGTCTAGCGGGGTAGATTCGTCCATGCGCTTGGCGTCGAGGGCGTGTTTGAAGAGCGTGTGGTGCGGGCCGCTTATGTGGTTTGTCGAGGTGAGGTGCGTGTGGAGGTCAGTTTTGTAGGTTTCTTTGAAGGCGGTTGTTATTGCTTGTATGTCTGCGTTGGAGCGGCGGAGGAGGACGTCGTCGAGCAAGGCGTGGGTGGAGGGTGGGGTTGCGTTTGGCTGCGCGGTTCGTGGTGGGAGGGCGTTGCGGAGGTAGACGATGTCGTTCCTTAGGGGTCCGCGGACGAGCGCGATGATGGTATCGCCGAAGTCTCGTTTCAGCTTTTCTACCAGCGCCTCTTCGAGGTTCTTGCCGATAGCGTGCCGGTATGTTTGGCGCAGGAGCGCCATTTGGAGAGGATCCGGCTTCGAGAGGATCTGGATAAGCTTGGATTCATCAGTGTTGAAGCCGCTGATGGCTTTTTTTATCTTTCGAGCTTCATCGCTCATGTCACCTGTTGCGACGTGAGCAGGATCATAGCCCAGTGAGGGCGCTGCCGGGGCTTGAGGGCCCTGCGGGTGGCCTGGGACAGGGGCGCCGTAGCTGTATCCTG